AGCAGGAATTTTTCCATTGCTATCAGTGGGCTTCTGATGAGGTCTGCATTATTACTTACAAGCCCAGTAGTTGACTTGACTAAATATGCCACACAGGTGTCTAAAAAGTTACAAAAACCAAAACTGTCACTTAGATTTTGTTTATGAAGGAACCCTTCTTGTTGCCTTTCCTTTTCATACAAGAACTTTCACTCTTTATAAAACCTTGTATTAGAGTCTCCCTCCTTGTGTGCAGCTGGTCTCTACAGGTAACAGAAGGCAGAAAACTAGTAAAACAGAGTTGTCCGTGCTCTGAAAAAGTAGCAGCATTGTCTTTTTATCTGTACTCCACCTGCATCCCTCCAAATGTATTCATTTTGTTTGGCCAGTTACAGAGAAGGGGGAAAGGAACTGGTTTAAGAACAAGCATCAGTGGGTGGGAGTGAATGGTAACGGGAAGAGGACATTAAAAGGGAAGTTATTTCTGGATTAGTAGTATGTTTAATTTGATTTCTCCATCTGATGGGTCTTTTTACTCCTCAGAAGTGAACATCCACTGGCTCAACTGTATTGCCACTCAATCATGGAGCATCATCATTTTGATCAATGCCTTATGATCCTGAATAGTCCAGTGAGTGCCACGTTTTCATGTATGCTGAAGAAAACTATTCTCTATTTTACTTTTTATTTTTAGCTTTTGGATAGATTCCCACCCTTACACATTCCTAAGTGATCTTTATTCCTTTTTGGGTAAAGAAAGCAAACGCAGCAGTTTTCAAATCACAGTTCCATTTCGGAGTGCCACCAAAGCTTTCCAAGCGTTGCCTGATAAGGGAAGCCTTGCTTATATCCTTTTGAGTACCTGCTTCCTTGTACCAAAGGAAACAAAAGGCTTTGTTGCCATTTTCATGACCTCTTATGAACCACCAAACAAACCCAATCTCATTTCAAAAAACATTGCGGCCCACACAGCATACACAGAGCAGTCATGATGAGACCAATCCAAACACTGGTGATGTTGACATTCCAAAGTGAAGCCAAACCTAAGTTAAGTAAATATGCAAATAAAACTACATTCTTCTTGTTTTATATTATTAACTAATTCTAAGACCAGTTATTCAGCATGCACAATCATTTCAAAGCAGTGTATTTTCACTGTTCATTTTGTATCACAAGTATGGGACATCCAGCATCTTTTGTATTGTAATGATTCTTTCCCATTGAGACAGGAAAATATGGAAAAAATGTGGAGGCAAGTTGCCTTTTCACCAGCTCAGTAGTGCTTAGGTTTAACAGTGGGCTGACGATCTTATATTTCCATGTAATAACTTGTTATTTATGTTCCTCCATAAAAGGAATATACTTTCATTTACCTGAGGTGTATAGGCAGCTACTGGAATGTGTTATAGTTCCTCTGCTTTAGAGAGGCGGGGAAGAGGAAAGAGAAATGCTATGATACAGCTAGTCGCAAATTTAATTTTGATTAATGAAATTGACTTAAAGGCTTTGATGTTGCTCTGCGTGCAGTTTCATTTTGCAATAGTCAATTATGATGCTGTTGCTGTGCAGCTTTCTGCCATTATTCAAGAAGACTGTAATTTTTATTTTTAAATTGGGGAATCTGCAAAAGGAAGCAGGGTAAAATAATTACATCAGATATCAGCAACTCATAATGATCCAGTATCTAAGAGACATTTTAGCAAACTTGTGTGCTGTTGCCCATTTTTCTGCTAACATTGGTTTTGTTTTTTTGTAAAGGGAAATCAGATTCTGAGCAGCCTTTCCATTGAAGAATACAAGGCCACACTGAAAATGATAAAACAAGCCATTCTTGCCACAGACCTAGCACTATATATAAAGTAAGTCAGAGGCAAGTTTGGCTTGGATAGTCGTTGCTGGATGGTTGGATTGTGTCAGCATGCTGCAAAATCTTTTTAATCTTTTTTTTTTTTTTAACTTCTTCTAAAGGAGGAGAGGAGAATTTTTTGAACTTCTAAGGAAGAAGCAATTTAATTGGGAAGATCCTGCACAGAAGGAGCTATTTTTGTAAGTAAACACAGAATGCTTAAGAGCCAGGTGGTATTATTAGGTGCCCTATTTTCCATGCCAGGTTGCTGTGAATTCTGTTAAAATGAGCAGGTCTGTGTGCTCTGGGCCTGTACAAACTGGCACTGGCACACATGTCACTAAATGACTCCCTGTGTCAGAATTACAAAGTCTGCAGCCTGTATCATAAACTTTGTTATGTGGAGCTACGTGAGCATTTCTGTTCTTCCTAAAGAGTGTAGGGCTCCTGCCTAGGTACCATGTTCTTTTGCTGTTGATACGTTTCACTTTAATATTTAATTGTTGAAACCAATAACTAAAGATTCAGGACAGGCAGTTTGTTTTGAAGCCGATTCCTTACTGGCAGTGAAGAAAAAAGAAGATTAAGAATACAGACACATTTTAATGCACAGGTACAGAAAAGCAGGCTTACTTACCTCAGCTGTCTCAGAAAGGGAGGATGCTGTATTTCAAATTCCTGGTCTAACTTAGTCATATTATATGTCTATTCCTATTTCAGTCCTTGGCTGTCATACTGCCAATAAAGATGGCAGTCACTGGTAATCTCAGAAATTAATAAATGTGCTGTCTGTCCAGTCGCAAACAGAATGAAACAGTTCATCTGACATGAATCTACCAAATGAGCCAGTCCAGATTTGCTCATTTCTGTGTGCTCATTTCACACAGGTCAAAGTCTGCCACATCATCAATCCCCAGATATCTTTATAATTTTGCTTTAATTTAATTTGTTTTTCTGGCTTTGATGTTCCTTGAAATTTGATATTCTGTTTTACTAATCACTTGACTTGGTGACACAGTTTTCCAATACATTTTCACCACACAGTAATTAATAGATTTCTTTCTGTTTTTTTTCTACAGAGCAATGCTGATGACTGCTTGTGATTTATCAGCCATAACCAAGCCATGGCCAGTTCAGCAACGGGTATATGCTTTATTTTAAGATTTGCTAAATACAAACTCCGCATAACAGCTTCTGCTTCCTCCATCCAGTCCCTATTCCAAAGGCAGTGGGGCAATGCAGAGCCTTAGGAAGCAGTCCTTCTAAGTGCTGTATGCGGATTGAAGACTTCTCAGGTCTTTGCAGCAAGGTCTATGCATTTAACTATGTCACCATGTTAGCAGTAATCTGAAGGTAAATCAGGAATCCTTGTTCTTTCCAACATTTCTGTGTTACTACAAGGCAGTCAACTGATAAAACACACTATTTACTATCAGCTGGCATTTTCCTATGTGTTGATCATTCCAACTGTTACCAGTGGTAAGATGCCTGTGGGATATTTTATCCGTTTTGCTTTGTCAGAGTAAATTTCAGCACATGCAGATGTTTTGTTTGTGCACAGATGTGTGTATTAAGAATTCTAAAAGCTAGGTGGAGAGTCTCATTATGGGGGGGTCCCAATTCAATATATCCTAAGGAGAGTTAGGAAACACAGGAAACAGTTTTGACTGTAGGTACCAAACAAACTTTTAGAGTTCTCAATGTGTGAAATCTTTTACAGATTGCTGAGCTTGTAGCTACTGAGTTCTTTGATCAAGGAGATAAAGAGCGGAAGGAACTCAACATAGAACCAACAGTAAGTGACAGAATCATGCAGAATCGCCACTTTCAAAATGGCATCTACAAACAGCACTACACATTCCTCTCAAAAGCCACCATTTGTCTCAGGGACCAGAATATAGAACCATCTCCTTCCATGTCTTCCTAGTAGTCAGTTTTCTTCTGTGGTTCCTTAACACCAACAATGCATCATTATCTCTGAGCCAGAAGAACATACAGCATTATATATATTAGTCTTTTGATACATACACTGCTTTTTAATTCCAGTCTGTCTCTATGGTTTTGGTTGGGTTTTTTATTTAACGCATTTAAATACAGAGCTTGTTTACTTCCTATTTGCAGGATCTAATGAACAGAGAGAAGAAAAATAAAATTCCCAGCATGCAGGTTGGATTCATAGATGCTGTTTGTTTGCAGCTGTATGAGGTACGGTGCCTAAGAAAGAATTGCACATATCTAAAACCAGAACTGCTCACTGTAGCCTCTAATAGTTGCAGATTTAAAATTAGAATCAAAATCAAATAAAAAACTAGTCCCCCACTTTAATTTTTTTTTTTTTGTTATTTATTACATATGGTTCTGTATTCATTTCAAGAAATTATTATTTTGGTGTTTATCATTAATGGTATGTTTGTTTGATTAATGCATTTTATTGTATTTTTTTTTTAAACCTAGCAGTAATTGGTGTGCTCTGGGGACTTGGTGCTAGATCCCTGGGTTATACTCTGGATTCTGCCAGTAAGCCATGCCCAAGGACATGGGGGAATGGTTCAAAGCTGTGCCAGGGGAGGTTTAGACTGGACATTAGGAAGCATTTCTTTACTGAGAGGGTGGTCAAATGCTGGAACAGGCTTCCTAGAGAGGCTGTCGATGCCCCAAGCCTGTCAGTGTTTAAAGGGCATTGGGACAATGCCCTTACCAACATGCTTTAACTTTTGGTCAGCCCTGAAGTGGTCAGGCAGTTGGAATACACTATCATTGTAGGTCCCTTCCAAGTGAAATATTCTATTCTATTCTGATCTGTTTTACATGTTGTTAATTTATTTTAGGCCCTAACGCATGTGTCAGAGGCCTGCTACCCTTTACTGGATGGCTGTAGAAAAAATAGGCAGAAATGGCAATCCTTAGCTGAACAACAAGAGAAGAATCTGATCAATGGAGAAAGCAATCAAGCCAAACGGAACTGAGATGCAGATTTAACAACCACAAGCTTACATAGAAGACATAGTAATAAGGGAGTGCTGCATTTTGCTAAACACTGTATGACTTTGGCTTATGTTTTGCCACTGCTGTATTCTTTTTCCACGTTTCAAGATATAGCATGACCATGTGTATGCCAAGGTTATATAAAGATAGTATGTTTCTTTTATTACATCTGATTGAGATGGGAAAACATCTGCAAGGGTAGTTATTCCACAAGAAGGTATGTGTGCAGTTACTTGGCTGTCCCCAAGACCCTATTACTTTATAGATGTATATAGTTGTTCAGTGATCATGTTGTGGCCAGTATCTTAAAGACTACTGCATTTCGCACCTTTTTTCCTCTTCCAGTCTTGCTGTGTTATGTTATAAAAGTAATGAGCAGTCTTGCCTGTTCTCTTCCCAGAGGTTCAGAGAAGATTGGGACTAACTCTGGGGAGCCTAATCCAGCATATACTATGCTAAGCTCTTTCAGGAGAGAGAACTGGGTTTCAGAGTGAAAGAGACCCAGAATCTGTGCACCCAGTATTTTTTTTTTTTGTCCTATTAGAGGAATGTATTAGGAAATGTCTTGCATTTGGAGAAATTTTTTAAAGCCCTGTGAATTACTAGGCAATGGGGGTCTTAGAAGTTTCGTGGTAGAAGTGTCATAATTATCCAAGGATAATGGAAACTGCTTGAAGACTGATGAAACGTCACAACATAACTGACAGGCTGCCATGGAATAATGGCTGCCATAGAAGACTGCAAGCAGCACACAGAGAAATGGAAACTAAACAGGATCATTTCTATATGATGGTTTTAACTTAATTTGGAAGCTGAATTTAACATTATCATAACCAACAAACTGAATCACAGGCAGGAAGAATAGAAGAGAATGTGACTGCAAGAGCAAGAGGTGAAAATCTGGATCAGAATGACGCAGGAATGGCACACTTCTGGTGACTGTCAATGACTGATTCTCTAGGCCAGTGCTATTACGAAATGGCTATGACCACTTTGAAGAAAGTTTTCTGTTAACATCTTTTAAAAACATTTTTTAGCATTAGTTAATGTTACCAATGATTAATCACAGTGTCTTAAAGGAATATGAAAAAAGAATACTGAAAGCAATACCAGCCAAGAATGCTACAGGGATTTGCCATTTGTATATAACAAATCAATTAACTTGCACTAGGAAAAAAGTGGCATTAATACTTTATTTAAATGAAAATGACTAATAAAAATTGTTTTGAATTGGGAACCAATTCAAGAAAATACACACATAAAACAAACCCCAAAAGATTAAAACAAAGAGAATGCTCTTCTTTGGGTAGATAGGATTAGGAGATTAATGTCAGCAATCTAAGATTGGTTAGCAGTAGGTGTAACTTCGGCTGCACAGACACACAGAAAATGTTACTTTTTTAAAATCTGTAGTAATGATTTCTCAGTTAAAATCAGCAATAGTATTAGGCAAAAGTAATACATTCAAGATTGTACTTTGAAGTATAGGAGTTTATTTCTATCACAGTAATCCAGAAAATTCTGGTTGGAAACTGCAGTAAATTTTTCTTCCCAGGAGATTATACTCCTTGTACAAGCTGGTCAGAAAGACAACGAAAACAACGTCTTTTTATCAGTTTCTGCATTTAGATAAATGATACCAGAAGCTAATAAAAGATGAAGCAAATGTTTCAAAATAGTATAAAAAAAAATCAAAATGTTTCATAGTTGATTTTTTAAAAATGTAGAATAAGGTATTCTGATAGTCTGCAGCATTTCTGCCAACTTAAATTATTTGTCACTGATTAAATCCTATGTGAAATTTTTCTAATGACTACCGATCATATATTAGTGCAGCTGAATTTGAAAACATTTTTCTACAAAAATATTTCTCCTGATTTATTTTTTCAGATTTAAAAAAAAAAAAGTATGGAATTCAACAATAAGAATTCCAGGACTACTGTTATGCAGTGTTCCATATGTGTATTTATATGCATACACAGTACAATATATATATGTAGCATGTCATAGCTATGCAGAAAAATTACAGCAGCCTGCCCCCCACAACACACGACCCCAGAAAAAGTTTTCAGGTACTTTTTGATAAATAGGAAACTTTGCTTTAGGATTTTCATAGTTCTTGTATATTCTTTTCCTTGAATGCTTGAGATACTGAAATATAATTATTACACTAACTGATGAGATACAGATTTAATATAAATATGAATAAAGTATATGTATATAAAGGTGTATGCTTGCTACTGTGGTTGAGACTAGTAATTCATGGTGACAACACAGCAAATCAGCTAGGGTGATATTACAGTCTAGTGACGTATATTTTACATTAAGATCCCAGTATTTCTTTCCTATATCATATGTTCAGCAAAGCTTTATTATGACATAAATTTATACTACTACAAAGCAGTGCTGGATTCATACCTTCGACTTGAAAAAAATGGACATGACGTTGCATTTTTTCAAGGGTTCACTTAAAATTAACACAGTTATACAGTATGTGCATATCTGTACCCATTTATCCCACAGAATCTCTTCCAATACAAAGATTGGAAGATAAGTAGAAGCACATTTCCTAGTAAATAAACCATTTAAATGTCATAATACACCTGTATGTGTATATATTTCTACAAAACCAAACCCTTTAAACTACTGGTTTAAGAACCGTAAGAGCATAGATTGCTGTACTTCATGAAAATTCAGAGAGTTGATCAAATTTTTTGTACAGTGTTTTACTCTGCCAGAAGGCAAAGTCAGAGTGTGCTGGTTTTGTGTCATAGCTTTGTGTGAACTGTTTGCAGAAATTGCTCTTTTCTTTCATAATGTATATACGTGACAATATGAAAAAAAGACAGGCTGTTTTCTGCCTGAAATTCATTGCCTTCAGAATTCAACATTTTCAAACTCAGTTAGTGAGTTACAGCCATGCAGCTGCCATGAGTTGTGTATCTAATTATTTTAGCTGAGACTCAAACATATTCTCCCCTAACTTATATTGTCTAGCTAAAGCAATCAGTGTGGATTATACAAGATACAAGCTGAAATGGAGTTTATCGCTTTTTTCAGTCTTAAGTCCATTAAAGCCATTGTGAAATTTAATATTTAAGTCTTGGGGTACAGAATGTGTCCCACTAATTTTTAATTCTTGCCTCAATTAAGACATCTAAGCTAGTAACCTACTTGTTCTCAGACATATTTCCTTTTAAAGTCACTCCACAGCACAGTTTAATGCTGAAAGTACACTTGCTCTTCCTGTTTTTCTTCCCCTTCTGAAAAAATAACTTGTCATACTTATTAACATACACAAAATTACTAATTAACCCTACCTCTTCTAATTAAAAATAACAGTGAGGCTCTTAAGCTGTACGTAGTACTTCTTTCCCAACAAGTTAGTCACACATCCAATATTAGCTGTAGTATGTCTAGGTTTTCTATTATCTCACACAATAAAAAAGAGGGGAAAATAACGTAATACTGATTTTGGAGACGGTATTGATTTTTAATTAGTAGCAGTTTAAAGTTAAGAGCAGATTATTCTCATCTTCACAGAATGCAAGTACAAGCGGGCTGGCAATAGAAGTGAATAATCTTTTCCATTGATGACCAGCTGATCTCTCTTTAGAAGAGAGGACTAAAGCCTCACTTTATGCATCACCCTCTGCCAGCTGGGTGCCTGCAAAGATAAACTCCAATCCAATGCACTTTATCTGGTAGTGGCACAAACTGCCAAAATCAGAACACTGCCTAATTCATACATAAGATTTTTTTCAACATTACGGGGTAAATGATTTTCCGAGCCATTATACAGAAAGATTATGAAAAGTCAGATCTAGGCCCTTAAAATGTTGCATGTTGCCCAGAGTGATCTGATTGGCGCCACTTGCAGTTATGCATAAAAAGATAGCAGAGAGTTTTCATGGAACAAAATGCCTCACTCATAATAAATATATAATAATATAATAAAGGTTTTACAGAGACCTAGTATTTCAGGCAAATTTTTACATTAGCTTTAGTTAGGAGTCTTGTCTCTCTGATGCTGTAGTTTCTTCTTCATGTCAAATCATATGCAGTTTACATTCTGCAAGGTTTCAGCTTCATTTCACAGTTCCCTGCCGTCCTTTTTCAGGGACTTGCACTAATTTGAAAGATAAGCTTGAATGTTGGAGTTGAATTTAAAAAATCCGTTTGGCCACAGTATGAGAAATAATGAGGGTGGGATTTTTTGTTTTCGACTTTCCCAGGAACAAGAAACATCACACAATCTGGCCTGGTAATTAGTGACACTTGCTAAATACAGCAAATTGTGACAGCATGAGATTTTATCTTTGTCATTGCTAGGTAAATGGAAATTGCATGGGAAAGTTTATTTTCCACATAAAGTCTGTTTCCATAGAGAAACTCATACCTAAGTACCACTGTTTGTAAATGTATATGTATGTGACAATGCTATGTAATAGCTACTTTCCACTCACTTTCACAGCATAAGCTTGTCATGCCAGGGCCTAGGGCATACTCAAATGCCCGTCTGAAGTCAATTATATGATTCCCATTTACCTCAGTGGGAGCTGGATTGAGCTGTAGAGAAAGTGAAAGAACGGGTGAAATCCACCTTTTTTACCTGTAAAGAGGGACCAAACTGTTCCCCTTGGTAACACCTGCCTCGCCTGCTCTTTCCTGTATTCAGTGCTGATGCCCGAGGTACCTTACAGATGTAACTGACATTAGAATTTGAGCCCTCTGTGTATTCACGTGGCAGACACCTGCATGTGTCTCTTGAAGAATGTAGTGTGAAATGCACTGTAAATAATTTTAATATACATTTCTATTATAGTTTAATAAAAATCCTAATCACAGTCACTAGCCACTGAGTTTGTCCATTTGTATGCTTTTATCTTTTAAAAATATTTGAACAAATATATAGTTTCTGGGCACAATATTTTTGTACTAGGTTAAGGGGGTTACTCTGTATATTACGTTCTGCCTTTAAGTAGTATTAAAGTCTTCTGAATGTCATATGTTCTCACTTGCTTC